GTCTGGACAATTTGCACTTTTTGAGTAGTATATATTTAACTTAAAAAAAACAATGGCAATTATCGGACATCAACTTCAGCTTAAAGCCAAGATTTTTGAGTGGTTTCTTCTAAAATATAAACCTGTTTTTTTTTTTACGATGAGGAAGTCATTAAGGAGCCAAATGGCAAATCCTTATGAAAATCTTCTATCCTAAGAAAAATGGTCACACGACCTTGCAGTGAGCATATTATTAGATAATATATATTTAAAAATCTTTTGGATGTTTTACAACTGGAAATCAAGATAATAAAGAGTTATTTTGAAAATAAAAGAAGAAATTACGTTTTTAAGATTTGCAATCAAATAAATTATCAGTTAGGAGGCCCGTCGGACGTCTTTTGAGCGCAGGAGCCGAATATTAATTTTTCAGTTCAGTAGGATCACCACAGTTGAATTAAATCATGGAATTTTACGTATTGCGAAAACCGATCCAGAAGAAACCAGTTTATTTTAAAAAGGGGAACCCCGAAACGTGTTTGACAAAAAGCAACCTTAGATTTCCTGCTCAGCCTCAGAAACAAAAAACAATTCCACCGACGATGTGGGAATAACGGCGGTAAAAACGTCAAAGTTCACTTAACGTAAATCAGCCTTCAAGTTGGGAAATACTGATCGGTCAATCATGTATTGCGAGGGGTAAAAAACTTAAAACATGGACAAAACTTTGCTTAAAAAAACACATGAAAAAACGATAGAATTTCAGTTGAGGAGACAATTAATAGAGTTAACAGAAATAGCTTTCTTAACATTTCCATTCCTTAAGTGCTCATTAAGTCACACAACCAATAAGCTTAAAAAATTAATTTCTGTTCATTTATAACAAAGAAGCAAAACTTTGTATGAAAATATAATTTTCTCATACTATCACTAACATCTTAGAAATTTATGCCCTCCTCCAAGCGCTTTTGAAACGAGCCCAAGTATATTGAAGTAATGTTGTTTATTTTGAGATATATTTTATGTATGCGACGAGCTTGTATTTAAATTTTTTATGTAAACAAACAGATTTCGTAATAGAGGTCATTATTACTAATCATGACTCGCTAATATGCATGTAAGCATATTAGCTATCAATCATTTCCTTGAAAATCTATCAGTTTTTCGGGTTGTCATTCCTTTTTATGAACGGTTTAAAGTTTGTTTACTGGAGTTGTAAATGTCAGAAGAACAAGTAGAAATCTTATGAAAAACAACTTATTGCTTATTGCTGCTATTACACAATAATAATTTCAAATCAATAATACAATAGAATGTAATTTGAAATATTTTGAATCGATTACGTTTTAGAAACTAAGATTTGTCTCATATTGCTATTAATAATCACAGTTATTTGCTCTAACGCTTAATGGTAAGTCGTTATAAAGTAAATAAGTGTTAGTTCATGATTATGATGCCTAATTTACAAAGGTTGTCAATACATCATTCAATCGATCAGCTGAACAAAACCAACAATTAAATTTGTTGAAAAGAACTCATCTACCATAAAATGAAAACGTAGTTTTGAAAGGACTAGCCTTCATTTCACAAAAATAGTGGATATGTAAGAGTATTATAAATAAATATTATAGCATGAATCTTACTCACTAGGAATAAAAAAAAAGCTAATGTTGTAAAACAATGAAATTTAACAATCGTCGAGTCAAGATCAATCCTCGTTCAAGGTGATCGTCATGTGAAAAAGCCATTATTTAAATTCTCACAAAGCTGTAAAGGCAGATAAGGGAGATCGAGGATTTGCCTATAATAGTCTGGACACGAATAGGTCGAGTAAAAAATATTTAACTTCAGATGAATACAAGAACATCCACCTTGTGTACACTTTGACCTGAAAGGGTTAAAAGATCAAAGATAAACATATATAGATAGGGATATTGATTATCAACGATTATTTGATAAAACGGTTTCTCTTCAAATTTTACTTTTGATTAAGTGGAAAGGTTGTAATTGCTGCTATAAAATTACAAGAACAGGTTTCCCTTTCTAAACGCTAATAAATCAGATAGGACAGCGGATAATTTGAATAAGATAATTTCCACCTTAACTTTAACGATTACATTTTGCACACAGAAACATTTGCATAACAAAGAAAACAGATGGTATGCACGGGAAACTTTAAACCCGACCAAAATAAAAGTGCCTACCAAAATCGAGCAAATCTTTCGACAAGCCGTATTTACAATGAACAACTCCTGCCCACCCGTGGAGCAAATCAATAAATTATGTACGTTGAAAGTTTAACTTGGATACGTTTTTTTTCCTCTTTCGAAAACGTGTGCCTTAAAAATGTAACAAGCCTAAGGCTAGCGTGAGAAAGAAAAACGATAAGAAGCATAGAAAGTGAACAAACGCAGTTGAAAACAGTTCTTGTGCTACATAAATTTGGTCAATGTTTAAACATGATATCACCTTGCTACATCTTTCGTCTTGTCTTATAAAACAGACAGAATATTACTTGAAACACTACAGGACATGTCATAAAAGGGTATTCACGATGTTTGTAAGATGTTAACTCGAATAGAGAAATGTCCAGTAAGATTGTGAATGCCCCCTTCTTTTCTTAGCATGTTAAACGTTAATTTTTCCGCAATGCTGCGCGTGGCGATTGGTAGAACCAAAAATAAAGCTATAACAGTCCTTGAAGGCTTGTTGGTTTTGTTTGTGCTAAATTGTAAGATGTCAGAAGTGAATAAAAAAGGAAAATTAATCAACTCATTCATTCAAAATGCTATCTATGCACTCGAAAAGTTCTAACAAATGACATGCTTCAAATCGTGTCGGCACCTTGTATACTAACGTCTAACGCCTACAACTTTATAGGTTAGGGGATGTATTAATTATGAATGAGAGTATAAGGACAGGTCAGAAATTAATAAAATAAATGTATTGGTCTGATTTAATTAATGCTTATTTGAGAATAAAAATACGTGTAAACAAAAAAACAGATGTTCAATTCAGAGCTGCCATGTTGGTTACCTAAGTCCTAACAGATAGCAATGTGACTACATGTTCAACGAAAAAAGAGGGAAGGTTCGATGGGTTGTAGGTTGAGAAGGAGAGTTGGTGCCCGAGAGGATCGAAGTCACGATAGTTCAAGTGGTAGAGTAGCGGTGTATTTAGCCGAAGGTCGTGGGTTCGAATCCCGCTCGTGACGTTGACTTTTTTTATCCCAACCAAGACAATAAATGGAAATAATAATTAATTGAAAGATGTAACTTGGTCAATTGACCACTAAAACGTAAATTAATATTAAAATTTATAACCATATAATTACTTTACTTTAAAAGGTTATTAATTAATGATTTTTCTCGTAATTTAATTGTCCTTTATTGTTGCTTGATAGTAAAATACCGTTATGTACAAGCCAAACATTTATACATATTAATTGTTTCATATGTAAAATCACACTTGAGGTACTCAATCTTTATTATATGAACAAAATGACACATTTTTGTATAATTATAATCAGCCTTCTATACATAATTTTATAAGAAAAATCCTAATTGAGAAAAAATTGAAATAAAAGGTTCAGTTCCTTCATCGATATTTCGAGGAATAATCATGATAATTCATCAGGACTATAATGAAGTAAGTATACTGTCATAACGAAAAGAATTGGAAATGCAATGGAGAACAAAAGGACGGACGAGTGTTTGATCTCGATATATTATGGTTTTGTAATATAAAGATTTAAACAATATAGGCTCGTGTAAAAATTGAAATGATTCTTTGTAAAGAAAATCCCCCGTCTTACCTGCAAAATATTTATGGATATATTTTTTGGTACGGATACATACATTTTTGCGTGACCATTTTGCGTTACCGGTGGACTCTTGGGTTAGTTTTAGGTTAGGTTAAGAATGGTTAGTAGATAACAGGTTTGGTTTAGGTTTAAGTTTGGTGTTAGGTGATTAGGTGGATAGGGGTTTTGGCTTAGCATACATATCCATAAGCAGAACCTCTCTCTCGTCATCCTTTGTTTTTAACTTATAATTAAATAAGAATAATATTTTTATATAAGAAGAGACAATAAATAAAAATGGGTATTGGTTTGATTATGAAGGTATTTATCATGAGATGCACAATAAATTAAAATAACACTGACAACATTAATTTTAGGCCATTTCATGAGGCAAAGCGCATTCGTAAACACACACACTCATACATTTATGAAGGATAGTAACACAGAATGAAAACGATAAATACAACATACTATAATAAAAAAATAATATAAAAAGAATCGATCAAAGCACCACAATATGCAGGAACAACTAGACAATATCAAACAAACAAAAAATTGAGGCATTGTTATGGCTTAGCACTTCCTTTCACACCCCTCTTACAGAAAAAAGACCACCTAAATGGCCAGAAAAATGGCAAGAAACTTGTCAAGCAAGAACAAAACCAGGGAGAATAGGCGGACTTTTACGATCGATTTTATATATTGTAAAAAGTAGATTTTTGGGTTATTCTCCAATTTTCAAATAACAAAAGCACACAAAAGTGAGCTGTGAATGAGATTTGAGAAAGATTTTCTTTCCCGGTTATTAAAGATTATACACAGGTATATATGGACCGTGTTAATGCTCAGTTTTTTTTCTTGTATTCTCGTTTCCCGGTTTGTTACTGTAAACAACGGTTTACATTTTACCATGGTTTAAACTGCGTATAAACGTTGCGACTACAAGGCAAATTGGTGAAACTAATGCTAGTTTGAGCATAACTACAAAGTAAAAATTATGAACATATGTCAAATGTTATCTCAAGAAAATGTACGTAATTACTATTTTCAGCAATTCTAATCTCTGAAATGATTGAATCCATCGATAAGATATTCAGACTTTTTTTTTTGAAGAAATTTCCCTAAAATGATTAATCCGTTGATATCACGTATTCGTATAATTTACTGACAAACGAAATAACGATATTTTATTAACGGTACATTAAGAATTATAATATATTTAAAATCCAAGGGAAAGATTTCGCAGGGTGCAAGGTCAAGGAAGTTATAGAAAGTAATAGGGAGGGGACTCTGCTTTCCTCCAACGCCCAAGAGACTCCTTGCCCGGTGAGAACCGCCAGTAGTGTTTCGACCAGTGATCCTCCAGGATAACCATGGCGACAAGACTGCTCGTGTTTATGTGTACGTACGATAAAATAATGCATGAAATATTTTAAGAATTTAGAAGTGTTTGTTTTATGTATTTATGTAGAAAAGCCGGCAGAGCTTAGCGAAATAAATGTGTTAAAAAAAGGGGTAAATCGATTTTCGAAATATTTACAAATGGTAGCTACGAAAAAAACCTAATGCACAATTTGTGAGAATTTATTCTTTCTCAATAAAAAAAAAAAAAATAAAAAAATAAATAAAAANATGAAAAAAAGTTGAATGTCAAAAACATATCAAGGACAATTTTCTTTCTCAATAAAAAAAAAAAAAATAAAAAAATAAATAAATAAATAAATAAATAAATAAAAATAAAAAGTTACATTTTCAACTACTAATCAGTAATTATTTCATTTAATGAAATATTTTCCCAACAAGATCTATTTAGCTCCATTAGTTAAAATATAGAAAACAAATCAAATCCTTATTCCTTATATTAAAATAAAACAGCCATTATAGCTATTAAAAATCTACAGGGGTGGATTTCAGAACGTCAACGCGTTAGCAGGCCAAATTAACAAGTTCTTAATGTGAAACTTTTACCTAGTAGCGAATTTTAAAACAGAAACACATACCATGAACAAATTGAGACAGTGTAAATATTTACTGTAGTATCTTCTGCCAATACATTTCGAAAAAAAAGTTACGATTGTTTTACCGAGAAAAAATTGAATTCCATTGTTTTATTGCAATAGTCAATGTTTATATTAAACGTTCATATTGACTTTTAAGTTAAGTGAACAATACGTTTATGATAATTAACAATCTGAGGTTATCTGAGGTTTAAAATAGTCTAAGAAAAGGAACAATTTATAATATTTACACTACAATCATTTTTTTCTCAAAAATATTGATTTGCAGGATGCTTTTTGCTAAAGATTACGCTGAAAGATCGAAGATCATTTATACAATTATTAATAATAATTTCTATTTAATTTTTCTATTTATTTCATTCATGCGTGCGTGTGCGTGTGTACATTTTATTGGTTATAAGATATAATGAAAGACCATAAAAGTACAATTCTTTCCATAGATCTATTAACTTTGAAAGGCCAATATGCTAGACCATAAGGCCAAAAAAAAAAAAGCCAATGAAACATGCATCCCTACATTTATGATTTCGATGAAACACCATAGATGCATTTTGTCAGAATAATTAATTTTAATATTTCTGTGCTCATATTATTTTAATGGTTAATAAAATTGTAAAATAACCATAAAAGGGTATGTGATGTTTTGTTCATAAATACTAAATTCTCACACCCACAAATAATCTTTAAAGAATAATTACGTTGATTTATTCTAAAGGCACAATCTGAGGTGTGTAGAATTAGAAATAATCTGAAAATTTATGTCAGGAAAACGTTTTGCTGTTTTTTATTGTTAAATTTACATTTATATTATTTACATGTAGTACAAAGTTTCCGTGTCTATTTGCACATTTATATATTCTCGATGTTACTATTCCTATGCTCTTTGGTCATTGAATTGGTTTAAAGAATAGAAAACATCCAGAAAAATGAAATTATTAATACCCAGAGCTATCGTTTTCAGGTTCAGTGAATATATTGGTGTTAATGATTGTGATGAACATCCAGAGACATATATCCATATGTTTTTTCTAGTCCTCTTTAAAACGTTCAATGTTTTAGTCATTGTTCTATGTTCTAGTCCTGTTCTATGTTTATAGGTTTTCTTCCTGGGTTAATTTTATTTTAAAGTTTAATTTTGATAAAAACACATCTAGCTGTTCTCAAAGAGTAAAGGAATAATTATGTTGAAACAGCCGAGAGTCATTTTCACAGCGTGATGATTCATAAGTCCACGATTCTCACTGGTTCTTTTTCGATACGCTTGATCTTATGTGGGATAACTGAGTGTTAATTTTATTTTATTATTGAAAAGAAATAGGAAATAAACGAAATAACTTGTTCTTGAACTACTGATGTTTTGAAATTTGCTATAGGAAATTTTAAATTTAGTGTTTCTTGGAAAATGTCTAAGATATTTTTGTCACGCTAGATCGAAATAGCCAATAAAGTCCCGAACAACTAATAGATATCAAATGCCTTTCGGGGAGAGAAAAGTTTATTTGTCATTTTTATCTAGCGTCAAATAATTAAAAATATTACTAGCTTCTATGACTTATTGAAATCACAGGCAAATCAATAGCACACGCGTGCGGTTATTTTGCTCATGTACCATTTTTTTATTTTATTTTTTGATAAAACTTTATATTTTACTATACTCATTGACCCGATAAACCACTTAGGAGAATTCTGTAATTGTATTCATATAATTAGTAGTAATAAAATAAACAGAAGGCGCTATGCATAAATTCATAATTACTATATTATAATGTAAGATTATTCGTATAATCATAGAATTAGAGGTGCATGTCAAGTAATAAAATTATGCACGTATTGCTTTTACAAGGTGATATAAACTAAATAATAGACTTTCTAACAAGCAGATGATTAATGTAGCTAAGTCAATGTTTTTATGTGTGTATGCGTTCACTTTTATTTCAAACTAACATGATTTTATTTATTCTGGTATTTTTCAAAAAGGTTCTATCTACAATACAAAAAGAAACATGCAAGATCACTTTTATATTGTGTAAATTCAGATCAAGGTAACTTCAAAGAAGGATAAAACTTCATTGTGATCTATGGCTTGGTTTAATTTCTCTCGAACACATGAGTTGTCAATTTCACACTTTCGTAATTTTGACACATACTTAAAAGACACATTGGGTACAAGTTGTAACGTATGTACAATAGATCGGATGAAAGTTGCTAATGCGGTTGGTGATCTCGCAGAGAAGGAAGTGGTCTTTTATTAAAGACCAAAATTGAAAAAAAATTGATTGACGGCCGGTGCAGTTTGATTATAATGAAAAGGCGACCTTGCCACACCTCTACCGGTATAGCGGCGCGTGACTACTGACAATGAAGTGACGTATGAACCGACTGGAAACTGAAACCACCTACAGAACTATTAATCGAACTGTTTTAGACAATAAAGAAAATATTCAAGGGCTTCCCAAGCCGTCCCTTGGTCAAGGAAAGTCTATCCTTAAGTAGACAAGTGAATTACGTCCTTTCAGTGTCGTGGTCGAAGAGTCGGATCACGATACAATCCAATAATGAGAATATCCCAAGGGTAAAAAAAGGAATTGAGTAAACAGAACAAGAAACTAGAAAGACAATAAATAATTTCGAATGTCTTTTCTTAACAAATGACAGAATATACGTAATTTCTTAAATACATAATATTACTAAAATTAATGTAGAAAAGTCAGATTACAATCAAAAAGAAATAAGAAAACAAGAAAGTGAACAAGTTACCAAAAAATTCGAATAATCTTTATGTACAACTTACTGAGTCCAAAAACTTCTCATTTCAAAGTTCATTCATTCATTCATGAGTCACGGTAGCTCCAACGCTCTACGGCATGTGGTAGAGCAGCGGCGTATTTAACCGGAAGCCGTGGGTTCGAATCCCGCCTGCGACACAAATTTTTCATTTCGAAAAAATTGTGTATAATTAATCGAGTATTTATATAATTAAGCATAAGCTGCCAAAATAATTAAAAAGTTGTACTAATCATGAAGTTAAAAAACTGATCCCATGGCTTTGTATATGACATCTTAATCACTTTTGATACAATAAAATTATCATTTCTCTTGTAATTTTAAAAGCTGTCGTCACTCTCTTTTAAAGCGTTTGATATTTTGCACATAAAAAACCCTACTTATTTATACAAATTTAATAATAGGTCAAAGGTTTCCGAGTACAGGACACGTTGAATAAGCAATTTCTTGTACATTACAGGGTGTCTTTTTTAGATGGCCTGGTTGAATTTCTCTTGAACCCGTGAGGGTATCAAAAAACAATTCAAATTTTTACCTTTTTTGGAGAAAAGGGGAAAAAATTATACAGGGTACCCCAGATCCATTTCAAATACGATCCTATACATCCTGACACCATTTTAAAAACCTTTTTTACACTGAAAACAGTGGTGCAATCGGATTTTAAATTGGTCCAAAAATGACAAAGTTCCAGCAACAGACATTTGGTTTGCTATTTATTAATCACATTTCATATTCGAACTAGATGCAAAGTTTTGCTTTTTTAAACTGATCTTCAGTGGTGCTCAGAGCGATAGTCACGGGAGTTGGATTGACAACATTTCTTATCCTTCAACTGAGATTCCTGGGTTATGATTGGCGTAGACACTGTTTTTTAAATGGCCCCACAGAAAATAGTCAAGTGGAGTTAATCGGGTGACCGAGGAGGCCAAAAGATCGGGCCATGAGGTCATATCCACCTATCCCGGAAGTGACTATTCAAATAACGTCTCACCTGCAAAGAATTGTGTGTCAAACCGGAGAATCATTCTTTGTCGTTGTAGCAGAGGAACATCATCTAACAGTTTTGGTAAAACCTCCCCCAAAAAATTGAGAACTGAGCACCATTTAAATCATTTTCGTCGAAATAAGGCCGAGAAGTTCACAACAAACGTTGATACTGTGAACCCACGTGATACTCATAACAGTACAAAATTCTCGGCTTTTCTTCTGCCACGTTCGAAAATCATAACGGTTTAGTATGACATTAGAGGTGAGTTTGGATTCATCAGTCCATAGGACGTACGTAAGAATGTTTTCTTCAGCCTCCCAAATCGATATTTGTGCAAGGTACGTTAGACGCCTATCATAATCAGTCCCGAAGTACCAGAACAAGACGAAAAAACTTAAAAACTATGTCATTTTTGGACTAATTTAAAATCCGATTGACCATTGTTTTCAGCGTAAAGAACCCTTTGAAATTATGTCAGGATGTATAGGATCGTATTTGAAATTTTGAAGTTGAACTGGGCCTGAAGTACCCTGTGTAATTTTCCTAAAAAAATAAAATAAAATAAATAAATAAAAGGTAAAAATTTGAAACTAGACTAAAAAATATTAAAC